ATTCGACGGCCCGAACGAACGGGTTATGGAGCAGGTGCCAGTGTGCGTATACGCAATATTTAAGAGGAGCTCTGCACTGCTAATTTGCTTGTCGCTTCGCCAGCCCAAAGGCTCAACCGCAATATTTTGTAGTTTGCTTAGGCGGAATAAACACAAAAGTTGCTCATAATTTAAAGAAGCGGCAGCAACTGTTGACAGGCGCTCAGTGAAAATGTCCTTGCCTCGAGCTGTGGCCACAAATGAAATGCCGCAAAAGCAAACACGCACACACACACACACACATACACACACTTACGCATACACACTTTGGGCCATATTTACGCATGTTGTGTTCGGCCATTAAACGCAAAAAGGCGGCTACTTGGCCAATGGGTTTTTCTTCTTAATGGCAACTGCAAATGCTGCTAATGTTAATTTAAGAAAATATATATACAAGTGTGTGTATGTGTGTGTGTTTGCGTGTGTCTTGCGGTTGGCAACATTTGTGCAATATTATTTGAAGCGTCCGAAGTATCTTTTTAATGTTTGCGGCTGCAGCCAATTAATTGCTTGAGCTGGCCAACTAATTAAAGAAATATACGCTTAAAAATAGTTGGCAAGTTCCTTGGCCAGGATGAACAAGCGCATGGGGCTAGAGACGTGACAAAGTAATCAATTATGCCAGACAGCAGTTGCCTTCATCTTTACTTTGCCACATTCGCCATTTTGTAATTTGCACTAATTGATGTGGCTAGAGTTTAACAAATGTGAACACTATTTATCTCGCTTGCACATATATGGCTTAACATAATTCAAGGCTGTTCCCACTTTTGTGAAGCTTGCTAATTTCTTCAAATTCCTCTTCAGTTTATTCTTTATTCTGCCATCTCGCTTTTTGTATTTAAATATAGAGAATTCATTTTTCCATGTATATACGTACTTATATGTATATTAGTAGTATGCAGCTAATAATAGCTCAGTCCAAGTTAATTATAGAACGCAGACGCACAAGCACGAAGTGTACTTATCTCGCTCACACAACTTATATATGCTCGGCCAGCTACCTAGTCCTCAATTCCCTTTTGTGCTAAGCTCGCCACGTTCCTTAATTTTTTCCTTACTTGAAATTCAACAGCAATTTATACTTATCTCGCTCACACATACATCTTCTTACGTTTGCATGCATAAAATGAATTTTGATCGCACGTTAGAGTGAAATAGAGATACTTGAAATAAATTCGCTTGTCCTTTTACACATGCAACACTATGTGCATATACATATGCATATTAGTCTTACGTAAGGTAAACATATTTTTTGTTAAGCGCTTTTATTAATAGACTAATAAGTGCATGTAGTCAAATATATTCCGCTTGATCTTAAATAGGATGAGCAGGCACACGCGGCTCATGTCGCTTGTGACGTGACAAAGCAATCAATTATGCCAGTCAAGGAGGAAAGGTCCCTAAAAAACGTTGCCAACGTCATGGCGTGCGCGCCTATTGAGCAGCAACAGCAACAAGCGCAATTAATTATGAACAAGGCGAAGGCTTTGTAACGGCTGCTGTGTGTTTGTATTTATATTTGTGTTTGCGTCTGTGTTTGCCCAGGAGAAGCAGAAGTAGCAGCACCCAACCAGCACACTCGTTGCTCTGACTCGGGCTTTGGTCCTGGCTGAGCCGACGCCTTTAGCGCAGACGACAGCATATGCTTATGCATGCCTAATTACGACAAATCCTTGCCTCCACACCGAAGAGCCACAGACCAGCAGCAGCGCGAGAACAAGCACGCGCAAATGAAGACAAAACACACATACACCCGCACACACACACACACAGACGCACACAGACGCATTCATAATTATGGCCGTATTTAGAGAAATTGGTTATTATGTGCCTAACGCCATTTGTCTGACAGAAATAGTTTGTATTTGCGAGAGACTTAGCCAGAGTTAAGCGCGAGGGCTGTTCAATTAATATTTGAGTGTCGTCTTTATAGAGAATTCCAATTTGTATATTTATTAAATTATATTACTTGAGATTTATAAACAACAAAATATCTAAATAGCTGCTAAAATATATATTAATTATACTAAACTTAATAAGCAACTCTCGCTCATCGTCGAAATGCTTGAAATTGTTTGCTAATTCATTATTATTGGCAATCGAGTCTAACGGTTAAGTGTGCTATTGTCCCTACAAAGGCGTTGCAGCAATTAGCCAAACTTACTATCTATGTGTGTGTGTGTGTGTGTGTGCACCGTTAGATGGCCATTAATAATGCCTGTTTGTGGCGCTCATTATTCCGTCCGCGTCTGCCAATTGGCCATCCATCAATTGTAATTAATCATGCTGCCGAAGACCCCAACGAATCCACTCCAAATATGCAACAAATTGATGCCCCGCAATTAGCCGCAACTATAAAAATACCAGCCCAGCAAACAAATCAATGTGAGAAAAATACGCACATGTTTCTAAAGCACTCCAAAAGCAAAGCAACAAAGCGGCCAATGCGATTGCTCTGAAATGCGCATTTAAGTGAAGGAGAGCGCAAGAAGCAGCTACTGAGAGGGGGTGACATTTGTATAAGTATGACCTAGACCATGAAGATAGAGAGTGTGAGAGAGTAAATGAGGCGGACATTATTTGCGACGCGTTGACATCTTGTTGATGAGTACAAAAAGTCAGCAATGCTGTCATAAATTGCAGATGCAACAAAAACAAACAACAACTGGAAGCGCACTGCACTTGCGGCTTTTGTGTGTTTCGCTAGCGGAAAAATCACAACATAAATTCATCAACACGGATTGACAATAGCCTGTCAGCTGGCCGCACGCTTGGTGGGGAGAGCGAGAGAGAGAGGAAGAGGGCAACGCTGGTGGTAGCGTTAAACAAAAGACAGGCAGTCTAATAGAAACGCAAATGAAGTCCAACCGCACAGAGGCCATTGCCACATACATGTACATAATGTGTGAGAGGGGAGAGAGCGATACGCACACACATAAGCACACTCGAGTGTTATTGGCATTGCATGGTGCGCTTTACACTTGCATAGCTGAATGGGAAGGCGCCTGATGTGTTTTCTGCATTGAGGATTGAGCATGTGAATATATAAGAGTACCTTTATAAAAATGCCTACACAAATGTACCTTTACAAATATACTCATAAAAGTTTATCTACATAAATATACTTAAATAAATGTACATATGTGTGTAAATTTACCTATTTGAAAGGGGTGATATACAATGTCCTAGTTTGTCAACCTACTGAAGCAAACCTAGACAGAGTAGTAAAAGGAATTCATATAGAAATGCATATGCCCTTATTCCAAGTACGCTACATTCTTCAATTTCTCTTTCACTCAATTTTTGTTTATTTGTTTGGTACACATATTGAAGGTTCTCAAGTCGGCAGCCCATTTTTACGCTTAGCTGTCTACACTATCCAATTTCTTCTTTACTTCAATTCGTGAAAGACGAGCTTGACAAGTGCGTAATTGGCTGTCTCGCTCCAACACATATATATACAAATCGACATTTCCTTTAGTCAGCAGACACACAAGAAAGAGGGAGCCAGTCTTGATCACATGTCAGCATGAAGAAGAAGTGATTGAAAGAAATTGTCTTGCCGCTGTACACATGTATATTATTATGATAACTGTAAAGAGGTTCAGTGTAAAAATCGCATTGAGTGCATCGTTTAATAGACTTGTAAGTGCATTTATTTTCGCCTGATTGCACTTAAATGCCTAAAAGCCGTGTCGAGAAGCACATACCCTACAATTTGACTCTTGTCAATTAACAGCCAATAAACCGTTTACCTGTAAGGTAAGTTTAAGTATTCCTTGGTGTGAATTTGCAGGGTATTTAAGATCCAATCATGCAGTTTTCTTTCTCTCTGCACTCACATGTGCCGAAGGCTTCTCGTGTTTGTAAATCAGGAAAAATAACGGAATTTTTTGCGCGCAGACAATTCCGTTAATTTGTGCTTGTTTAAACTTGTCGATGCGGCCATTTTAATAAATATAGCCATACCCATTTATAAATATACAAGAAAAAAGTAGAAGAAGCGAAATGATTCATGATTCAATTTTTGGCCAAAATGCGTGGGCATCTGGAAATGGTAGATGGTGCCCAAAGGCAACTGCGAAATAAGTAATGTTAAAAAAGAGGTGCGAGAGGTTGGTGGTAGCAAAAATATGATAATAATTATTGCAGCCATTGCCATACAGGCAACAATTAAGCGATCTGAGTTTCGCCTTGGCTGGCGACAATGAAAAAGTGTCCATTGTAAAAAGATTATATTGAGAATTCCACAGAGAGGTTCAACGAGCGAGTGGGCAAAAGATGCTTTTGTGTGTGTGTGTACAGTGAGTGTGTGAAAGTGGACAAACAGCGAAATTCTTTCTATTCATTTGTTTTTCTTGTTCGATGCGAACCCATTGGGTATATTGGTTTTATGAGAAGGTATACGATAGCAGCTGACATCTATCTGTTTGTCCCCCTATTTCCGTCTATATAGATGTAGGTAGAGAAAGATCTAGATCTTAATATATCTAATTTATGTAATAATTGACTTTCTTTTAGTCTGCCTGAGGATTACAGAAATCAAAAAGGTCTCCAATAATTTTGTTGTAAAACCGATATATATATATTGTTCTTATGTGCTTTAAGCATATTTCATAAGTTTTCTGATCTAAAATAAAAGTAGTTCTGGAAACCTTGTGTTACCTGGTAATTGTAAGCGAGAAGTTCATTCCTTTGATTTGCTATTTCCTCCTAAAATCTCTTCTATGTGTGCTATATGCACCGCCAATGCTTTCAATGGGTATCTCTTGTTCATGCACTTCCCACCCAGTTACGCTTTCTATTTGTTGTTGTTGCTGTTGTCGTTGTTGCACGTTATTTTTATAAAACTCACCTCAGAACGGCTGATCATCAAAGATCTTGCCGCTGGCATTCGAGAGCCCCGAAAAAAATTCATTTTCATTTGCAACACGCTCGCGAGTGGACGTGTCGCAGTGCCCAACAGATATTCGCTATATAGCACACATATACTATACCTCATATATATAAAGATAGATATAGATATATATGTATATATATATAGTTTAGAGTGCCTGTAGATCTTGCAGCTGCCCGCGCAGCTTGAAGTGCGTGCAACAGGACGCGAGTGTTTCGTGCGTTCGAATCGAAATCGAAATCGAAGTCGAAAAGCGAATCAAAGTTTAACTAGATTAAAGTGCAGATAACTGTAGTACGAGACGTGCCACCAAAGGCATGCGTATAGGTGTGCAAAAGTTTAACAAATTTCAATTAGTCAATTGCAGTGCGGCCCACAAGTGAGTGTAAAAAAAAAACTGAAAAAATAAAAGCTGAAATGTTGCGTTGATTATGTAAAATATACATATATATATATGCAGTATATAGACATATTGAATATAAGGCTGCTCACAAATGTCACCTGGCAGCTACACCTTGCTTTGCCGCCCACCACGCAGACAGAGCGCGAGAGAGGGAGGGCGAGCGAACGCAAGCTGTCAAAATTATTTAAAATTTTTAAACAATTTTGTTGTTATTTTAACATAAACATTTTGGCTATATATAAACATATGCATATATACTATAAAATATATATATATCTTATATTTTTTATACGTTTTTTTTTGGTATTTCTAATTTGAGTTGATCTTTAGTTAGATTGCTCATACGCTGCGTTTGCCGCAATTTTATTTTTAGTTTTTATTCAATCAGCGACATTTTTACTCAATTTTTCGAAAAGCTTTTTTTTGTTGTTGTTTTCCATTTTATGTTTGCCTTGCGTTGAGCGCTTTTTGGGCTCGTTTTTTATTTTATTTTTATTTTTTTCATTCTCTGTATTTACTGTTGGCTATTGCCTTTGTTTTCGCTTTACACCTGAATTGTTTATACTTAATTTCAATTTTGTTGTTTTGCCTTTTGTTCATTGTTTTGAATGAGCTAAATTAAAGCGAATTTAAATGCCAATCGCTGAGCGTGAAAAGCACTTTTCCCCAGTCCACTCAATTCGCATCCGCCCAAAAGTATGCTACAGTGTTGCCTCACACACACACACACACACATCGAAGCTTCGTAGCCTACACTGCGTATGCGTTGATTTTTATTTTTTCTAGTTCAAGGTCGCATTTTAATTAGTAAATGGAGTGGGAACAGTGCAGCTGCAATACAAAATCAATTGAGAAATCAAAACTGTTGCTGTTGTTCTTAATTAAATAACTTTAAAGGTTCGATTACAGTTTTTTATCCATGGCCAATTTGAACTTTGTTAAGTTTAAAAATAATATTTGTTTCAATATTTTTTTAGACTTCTTTAAAGTTTTAATTAACGGCAGAAGTGTTGCCTTACGGCATGAGTAACAGGCATTTTAAATAGAGAAGGCTGAGCAGTTCCTTGAATAACTTTTTGTTATTCTTTGTAGCTCAAAAGTTGCCTTCATAATTTGCAGTCTTTAAATTTCTGCTTAAGTTCTGCCTGAACTAATAAAGTCTACAAATGGGGCTTAAACATAATCAGTTCAAACTGACATTTTCAATTATTATTTTATTTTGTTTATTTAACAAATTTGTTTATTGTCTAATATAAGACAGATTGCATAAAAACAGCAATTACAAAAAAAAAAAAATGTTGTTAATTATAATTATTAAATTTTTTTAAAATTTATTTTTATTTAGCTATTTCACATAAAGAAATTCAGGCTAAAAAAGAAATTGGATTTTAAAAAGTTTGACTAGGCAGATATAAATTCAAGGAGGCAACTATCATTTTAGATACTTATTGTCTTTTCTTTATATTTTCCACTCATATAAATTAATATTATTTAAAGGTCTAATGGTGTATGAAAAGTTATTATAAAATCTCTTTGCTCTGTCCACATGCAAGTTCCTCCCATTTAGCTAAGCTAAAGCCTGAGGCAGCAAGTAATTTCAAGTCTTAAACCTATGCAACTCTGATTTTCTTACAGTTTGTAGCGCTAAGGATCCCCATATATATCAAATATCATATTATACCTGTTATAACGTCAAACTTAACCAGAAATCTCTTAGCTCCTTCTTCATTTCCTTGACTGCTCTACTTTCTCAATTCAAAAGTAGCCAAAGCAGCTGTAATGTTTATTCAACAGTTTTCAGTCTTAAGACTTGTTATATATACTCTACCATATAGCAATTAGTCTACTCCATTATCATATAAAGTCCCAATTGATAACTGAAAACTGTAGGACGACATCCTTCAGGCTGCATTTCGTACTTAAGCTCGATAATGTCTTGAGTTCAGGTGGAGGTTGATGCATTGCAATTAAAAGGAAAGCCGTATTTCCAGGTGACTGCTTGCGAGCGTTGCATTTATTGAAATACAATGCTTGTAGCATATTAAAATGTTGCATGCAACAGCTACGGGCAACGAGGCAACATGAATATTGGCAGCGCACGTTAATTAAGCTTGACAATGGGAGTGTGTGCGTGTGCCAGTTTGTGTGTGTGTGTGTAAATCAAAATACATAAATACGCATATCGCTTATCAGGAGGCATGCAGCATGTGGCGCCGAAATGCTTGGAGCATCGTTAATGTGCAACTGCCAAGGGCAACAAAGTTTTGCTGCGGTTCTTTTGTGGCAATGCAATTAAATGCCAACTGCAGCCCATAACGATAATGAGCAGGTAAACAACAATGCAGCTGCCCCATATTGTGTGGCATGTGGCATAATGAAATGTAATATTCAATGGAAATTGTAGCTGCTATCATTTGATGTGGCATTCGTGGCCAAAAGCGTTGTCCGCGTGTGTGTGTGTGTGTGGTGGAAGCGACCTTGTCTGATTGCCAGCATGCGTAACTAGTTGATTGGCAGCCAAAACTCAAGTGATTAATCATGCAATTTGGCATGCAGCGGTGAATTCACTGCTTATCTCTCACTCACTCAATCAAACACTTATTCTATGGCTCTCTCTCCCTCTTTCTCTGTCTGTCTCTTTGCAGCCATCACAGTTAACAGCAACGCAACAGGGCCCCCCAAGGGGCGCCTCGGATACCCAAACAGGAACAGGAAGACAAAGCGTAACGAAAGCCAAAGCCCAAAAGTAGCTGTAAGTACACGAATATGCCATAAAAAGCTTTAAATTACATTTGAAAGTAACTGAAAAATACAAATTCCGTAAGAGAAAATCTGTGGAATATATTAGAAATTTGCTTTAGGTGACTTTTAGAAACATTTCAGTTCATGAAGCATGGAAATATAATTCTTTCTGTACTAAAAGCTTAATCAATCAATCAATCACTGATCAATTATTCATAAAGCAAAGAGAATGATATATTTATTAAAAAAAACTCTTTTTCGGCTTTCTATATTTTGACAAATAAAATGATCAATCATCATCAATCAATCAATCAAAATTCATAAAATGAAAAGAGTTTGTATATTCTATAAAAACATACAAAGGCGTTTCTTCTTATTGAAGACATCAATCAATAAGGCTTCAATCAGCACCAATAATCATCAATCATCTTCAATCAGTCAATCAATCATTCATATAGCACTTCATATATATATATAACTGCATAAAAACATTTTGAAGACATTAATCATCAAGACATTGATCATCATCAACCATCGTCAATCATTCAATCAATAATCCACAAAGAAGTCGTAGTTTGCATATTACTTAAAAAGGTTTTATGGAGCTTTCGCTGTAAAAGATATCGATCATTAAGTTATCAGTCTTCATCAATCAGTCAATCAATTATAGAGGGTTCTTCTCTTAAAGATATTATCAAGCTAAGATAAGACAATTAAGCTAGATTTCAGGGCTATAATAAAATAAATTTTCACTTCTCTTTACTGTTCAAGCTAAATTAGTAAACTATAATTCAATTATTTATTCAATTAGTTAAAGTGGAAATAGTTTTTCTTTACTGATTGCCTTATTAGAGTGATATACCTCATATATAGAGGCTAAAGAGGCGGAAATAGCTTGTACATTCATTTATTATAAACAAACTGAAAGCTTTTAAGGATTTCTTGTTTTTTAGAAAAACTTGAACAATTAGTTTGTTTGCATTAAATGAAAGCGTGTTTTCAGTTTTCTTGCTAGTTTTCTTTGCCTCGCCAAATTGCAGAAACTTTTTCGCCTTCAGTTTAGTTGGGCAAATGTTCTCGCTTTCACACATACTCGACTGCAGTCTGCGAAGTTTCAGCCTGTGTCTGGCTCTTATTTATAGCTCGAGTATTTGCCGTTCTATTTTGAGGCGTCTGCACTCCGCTGTAGTTAAAAAAATTCTGGGCAAGACGCATTAGCTATTTTTAGCGCCTGTCGCCGCTCCAAGGGAATACGACCTTGAGCTCTCGCTGTGCCTGCTCTGCGCTCAGAACTCTCCCCTCTGCGCTTCCCCCTCTAGCTACCCTTCCCTTCCATCTGCCTCTCTTTTCGCTCCTTTGTTTGGCTCACGCTGACTTGTGCCACATGCCAGCTAATGGACCCCTTTGTTTGTTTGTCTTCATAAATAAAGTCAATTTTATTTTTTGGGCGAAAATTTTGTTGCGAAAAATTGTGCAGCGTCATTGCGCACTAGCGGAAAACCATCTGCAAAAACGAAATTATGGCTAAAGCGTCTATAAGTTGCAGCTAACTAGGGCGTCATTTACAAAAAAGCCCAATGTGCGTTCCAGTTTTTGTTCAATGGAGTTTATTTTTAGAGGCACCAAAAAATAAGTGCCTACAGATGCAGAAACATATATAATTACAGATACGAATGGTGAGATAGATACAAATACATCTATAGATTAAGATGAACAGATACAGATACAGATACAGATACAGATACAGATACAGATACAGATACAGATACAGATACAGATACAGATACAGATACAGATACAGATACAGATACAGATACAGATACAGATACAGATACAGATACAGATACAGATACAGATACAGATACAGATACAGATACAGATACAGATACAGATACAGATACAGATACAGATACAGATACAGATACAGATACAGATACAGATACAGATACAGATACAGATACAGATACAGATACAGATACAGATACAGATACAGATACAGATACAGATACAGATACAGATACAGATACAGATACAGATACAGATACAGATACAGATACAGATACAGATACAGATACAGATACAGATACAGATACAGATACAGATACAGATACAGATACAGATACAGATACAGATACAGATACAGATACAGATACAGATACAGATACAGATACAGATACAGATACAGATACAGATACAGATACAGATACAGATACAGATACAGATACAGATACAGATACAGATACAGATACAGATACAGATACAGATACAGATACAGATACAGATACAGATACAGATACAGATACAGATACAGATACAGATACAGATACAGATACAGATACAGATACAGATACAGATACAGATACAGATACAGATACAGATACAGATACAGATACAGATACAGATACAGATACAGATACAGATACAGATACAGATACAGATACAGATACAGATACAGATACAGATACAGATACAGATACAGATACAGATACAGATACAGATACAGATACAGATACAGATACAGATACAGATACAGATACAGATACAGATACAGATACAGATACAGATACAGATACAGATACAGATACAGATACAGATACAGATACAGATACAGATACAGATACAGATACAGATACAGATACAGATACAGATACAGATACAGATACAGATACAGATACAGATACAGATACAGATACAGATACAGATACAGATACAGATACAGATACAGATACAGATACAGATACAGATACAGATACAGATACAGATACAGATACAGATACAGATACAGATACAGATACAGATACAGATACAGATACAGATACAGATACAGATACAGATACAGATACAGATAACAGATACAGATACAGATAACCGATAACAGATACAGATACAGATACAGATACAGATACAGATACAGATACAGATACAATACAGATACAGATACAGATACAGATACAGATACAGATACAGATACAGATACAGATACAGATACAGATACAGATACAATACAGATACAGATACAGATACAGATACAGATACAGATAACAGATACAGATACAGATACAGATACAAGATACAGATACAGATACAGATACAGATACAGATACAGATACAGATACAGATACAGATACAAGATACAGATACAGATACAGATACAGATCAGATACAGATACAGATACAGATACAGATACAGTATACAGATACAGATACAGATACAGATACAGATACAGATAAGATAAGATAAAGATACAGATACAGATACAGATACAGATACAGATACAGATACAGATACAGATACAGATACAGATACAGATACAGATACAGATACAGATACAGATACAGATACAGATACAGATACAGATACAGATACAGATACAGATACAGATACAGATACAGATACAGATACAGATACAGATACAGATACAGATACAGATACAGATACAGATACAGATACAGATACAGATACAGATACAGATACAGATACAGATACAGATACAGATACAGATACAGATACAGATACAGATACAGATACAGATACAGATACAGATACAGATACAGATACAGATACAGATACAGATACAGATACAGATACAGATACAGATACAGATACAGATACAGATACAGATACAGATACAGATACAGATACAGATACAGATACAGATACAGATACAGATACAGATACAGATACAGATACAGATACAGATACAGATACAGATACAGATACAGATACAGATACAGATACAGATACAGATACAGATACAGATACAGATACAGATACAGATACAGATACAGATACAGATACAGATACAGATACAGATACAGATACAGATACAGATACAGATACAGATACAGATACAGATACAGATACAGATACAGATACAGATACAGATACAGATACAGATACAGATACAGATACAGATACAGATACAGATACAGATACAGATACAGATACAGATACAGATACAGATACAGATACAGATACAGATACAGATACAGATACAGATACAGATACAGATACAGATACAGATACAGATACAGATACAGATACAGATACAGATACAGATACAGATACAGATACAGATACAGATACAGATACAGATACAGATACAGATACAGATACAGATACAGATACAGATACAGATACAGATACAGATACAGATACAGATACAGATACAGATACAGATACAGATACAGATACAGATACAGATACAGATACAGATACAGATACAGATACAGATACAGATACAGATACAGATACAGATACAGATACAGATACAGATACAGATACAGATACAGATACAGATACAGATACAGATACAGATACAGATACAGATACAGATACAGATACAGATACAGATACAGATACAGATACAGATACAGATACAGATACAGATACAGATACAGATACAGATACAGATACAGATACAGATACAGATACAGATACAGATACAGATACAGATACAGATACAGATACAGATACAGATACAGATACAGATACAGATACAGATACAGATACAGATACAGATACAGATACAGATACAGATACAGATACAGATACAGATACAGATACAGATACAGATACAGATACAGATACAGATACAGATACAGATACAGATACAGATACAGATACAGATACAGATACAGATACAGATACAGATACAGATACAGATACAGATACAGATACAGATACAGATACAGATACAGATACAGATACAGATACAGATACAGATACAGATACAGATACAGATACAGATACAGATACAGATACAGATACAGATACAGATACAGATACAGATACAGATACAGATACAGATACAGATACAGATACAGATACAGATACAGATACAGATACAGATACAGATACAGATACAGATACAGATACAGATACAGATACAGATACAGATACAGATACAGATACAGATACAGATACAGATACAGATACAGATACAGATACAGATACAGATACAGATACAGATACAGATACAGATACAGATACAGATACAGATACAGATA